AAAAATATAAAGGCTGTTAGACCAACCTATTCTTACACAAAAGTTTGTATGATATCCTGGGTTATGCACAAATGCATTACTTTTTGTAAGAAAACGTACAAACAGCGCATGAGAATCAGGTTAGATAGCTGTCTCAACCACCATTATCAAAACACTGGCAGTTGCTCAAGACAGCAAGTAGTTCACTCATCAGAAGATCAACATTTTAACCCCCAGCTTCTCTAGTCCACACATTGAAGCTTCCCTGAGCAAGATACTGAACCCTACATTGCTCCCCCAAATGGGTATCTAACTGCATGTAAATGTTAAATGAGTAGCCCCAGCCACCAGTGAATAAATGTGTGTGTAAATGGATGAATCTGGCTCTGTAGTGTAAAATTACCCTCACTCATCAGAAGACTAGAAGGGCGCAATACAAATGCAAGTCCATTTACCAAAGCATTGTGTTCCATGATGCCAGCTGCCCAACAAGCTAATTCGGCTGATGCACCTAGCTTTGATGCCACAGCTAGTCAGTGTGTATATCAGAAGATACAGTTGATAGTAGATATTGTTGTTGGTTGACTATCCTAAAATTTGAACATTTTTCAGCCAAACAAGCAAGAAAATGACCAATGTTTACTTCATTCTTTTGAAAAGATTAAACATCATGTACCAAATATTTGGTGACAAGAGCTGACAGTTTCCAGATCCTCATACCCAGATAGCTCTCCGCTAAAAGTCCTGTGTCCAAATTTTAAAGCAATGTCCTTTTCTTTTGTTGTTTTGTTTGGGCTCACCTTGTTCAGCTTTTTTGTCCTTGTTTTTAGCTGTATGTCTATTCTGCGTATGTACGTACATTGAGATTCTCTCTCATACTCTCTCTGTCTCTGCCTGACCAGTTGGAGTTGTCTGGAGCAGCTGTCCTTCACCAGGCCAGGAGGGATCAGGTAGTGGATGCATGTCGAGTCTACAGTGCGTCCAGTCGTAAGCGCAGAGTACTGACACCCGGAGATCTCAAACATCTTGTGGTGGATGAGGACCATGAACTCATCTACTGCTATGTCCCCAAGGTGGCCTGTACCAACTGGAAGCGCGTCATGATGGTGCTTACAGGCCGGGGTAAATACAGGTGAGTCTTGTACCTGGCAGACTTTTAAAAGATTTAAGTTTAGAGGTCATTTATGTCCCTTCTAAATATATTGCTCCATGTTTGACAAATAGGAAGAGATATGCACAGGACATGTGTTGTAAGATGTAGTTACATCTAGGGCTGTACCCAAATATTCAGATATTCGAATATTCGTTTCTATGGGTAGGTATTCGTTATGAAAATTTGGTATTCGATATTTGTTTTTTTATTTACTTTTTTTTTTTTTTTTACATATTGTTTTTATACATTATAAAATGTGAAAATATAGCATAGCCTACCAACTGAGCTTGTGCACACGGCACGCTTGAGCGCATCTGTCTGAGGCTGTGGATCAATGCCAAGTTTTACCACTTTATCACTATTCCCTCTAACTTGTAGCTGTTTTTTTCATTATCTTTATTTAATATGAATTATGGGACCGTTTTTGTCAACGTTTGTTTCCCCTGTTTTGTACAATAAATTATTGTTTAAAGTTTCAACAAGTTTCTTTTGGAGTGCGTGACACAAGTGTGTTTGGAAAATGACCGCGGACTGTCACCTGCTCAACGCATCAGTACCTTCGGATGCCATGACAGTAATAGCCAATAATGTCAAAATATCATTTACAGACCGATTTAACTGACGATCACTGTTGCCCGACCTTCTTGTCCATTTGCTGGTCCTGCGTGTTATGGGTCGACCCGCGCATCACTACTCAGCTCAGTCTATAAGGCTGTACACAACAGTAAGGCTATAGACATTATTCTATTCAGGCCGGCAGAACCAGCAGCGCATCGGCTCTACAGCGCATGGCACTGCTGATTAACCATTTTATTGTAGCACAGAGTGTCTGCCAGCAACCAATTATTTGCAGAGGCTTCCTACAACTTGTTTCAACGGTTCCGATTTAATCAGAAGACAAATTAAACAGGATGACTAGCCAATGTGAAAATCAAAAGAAAGCATAGAATAATGCCCTCATTACACTGAAAGTTTGTGATGACCCAAGACATGAATGCATATTGTTTGTTTTACATTCGATCCTCACTGTCCTTATGCCTCTCTTAAACAGTGACCCAATGGAAATCCCTTCCAATGAAGCCCACATTCCCTCCAACCTGAAGACGCTGAATCAATACAGTATTGCTGAGATCAACCACCGCCTCAAGAACTACCTCAAGTTCCTCTTTGTTCGCGAGCCCTTTGAGAGGCTGGTCTCTGCATACCGCAACAAGTTTACCCTCAAGTACAACTCATCCTTCCATAAGCGCTTTGGCACTCGCATCATCCGGCGCTACCGCAAGAATGCCACGCAGGACGCCCTGCTCAATGGTGCTGATGTTAAATTCAAAGAGTTTGCAGAGTACCTGGTGGACCCGGCCACGCAGCGCGATGGTCCACTCAACGAGCACTGGCAGACCGTTTACCAGCTTTGTCATCCATGTCACATCCACTATGACCTGGTAGGCAAATATGACACACTGGAAGCGGATGCAAACTATGTGCTGCGGCTGGTGGGTGTTGGCGACTCCTTGCATTTCCCAAGCTATGCCAAGTCCACTCGGACCACAGATGCCATGACGGCCCAGTTCTTTAGCAATATCAGCACTCAGCAGCAGATCCAACTCTACCAGCTTTACAAGTTGGACTTCCTTATGTTCAACTACTCCACACCCAGCTACCTCCGGCTGGACTAATGGAGGACAGAGCTGGGACTCTGAGAATGGCTACCTTGTTTAAGGAGAGGCAAGAAAATGAGTGGAAAGAATTCTTTGGAGGCAAACTTGATTTAAAAAACTGTAGTTGTAACTTTCAGGCATGGGGTCTGAATTAGACATATACACATGTGCTGAAAGAAAGAAGGGTAATGTGTGCTTGTCTGGGCATAGGGGGGAGGATGTCCAATCAACTCTGTGCGATACAGAGAGCACTGCTTGGGTGAGAACGTAGGCTAAATGGACCAAATGCATGCAAAGACTAAACTGTGGGTGAAGCAGGTCTTCAAGGTGTTTTATAAGGGGAACAAAGGACAGACTAGAAGAGAGATTCTCCTGATGGTTGCTTCAGATTCCACAAAGCAAACAGCGGCCTCGCACGTGCCCTGACCCCAATGCATCTTGGGAGCTAAGCTTATCTCCCCCTCCCCCTGATCAACAGAGAAACTCCGTCAAATTGTAAAACACAATCCATGCCCTACACTGCGCTGTCAGCATGGTGTGTTAGCATCCATCACCCTTGTCCTCATTAGATGCATATATTTCAGAGGGAAACCAGCTCATCACAGCCTCAAGAATGCCCTATGATAGATGGCTAATGACTTCACTCTTAAGACTTCTACAACCACAATGACTGTAACTATGGCCTTCAGCCAACTTTTTTAACTAAGCAAGTTGTCACTGGTCTCTTTCATTATGATGTTGGGACCTCTTGTGTTACACCTTCAGGACCCTGAGAAAACGAAGACTCCTGCTGCAGCAGTTAAGTGTGGAGGTGCTTAATAAATCATTGTCTGTAACACCAAGCATCCTTAACATTGAAAGCTACAGGACGTGGTTAGACAGGTACGTCCTCACGTGACTGGGTGCATCAGCTGTGAGAGACAAGTCTGCGCAGAACGTCTTAGCTGAAAAACGAAAAAGAGACAGCCTGTGTGGTTGCAAAAGAGTTAAAGTCACTGGATCTCATAACCCTGTCCTGCGGTGCCCCACCATGCCCCGCGAGGGGCTCAGCGGACACATCCAGGGACTGCTCAGTCGACCAAACATGTCTTTCAGTAAATTAAGATTATCCTTTTGTCCTCATGCTAATTTGTATTTTTATTGTCTCATGAATTATGAAGCATTGCTGCAAGCAGCAATAACAAAAGATTATTTAATTAGCTTTGTTGATTAAAGAGAGAAAGGTTTAATTGGGTTGTTTTTTTTCTGGGCTAATGAACATTTCATGATTTTTTTTTAAAGTTAAAGTGTTGTTATTGTTTTGTCATGTTGATTTCCGTCTTCACAACTTGCCTCTGATACATCATTAGTGCACTGCAGCACTTTCATTTCTGAAGGGTATATGGCACATTTCAGCCCATGGCTTTGTCCTTCTGTGTCTGTGACATCACAGATTTATGAGTTATTTCCCATTTCCTGTTGTCAAACATTTGGTGCCAAAATGGCTGTGAGAGCCTCAGAGATCCACACTCAGTGTTCAGTACACATCACTGCCCTTAAGCAAATTCATGGGAAGACCCCCCACCCCCAAAACCAGAACATGAGAACTGGCTGCTGCTCTCAATGTACATATCAACAATCTACTGCCCACATCACAGAGTCAGAGACTGTATCTCATTGTGTGATGTGATTAATGCTAGCGATGCTAAGCAATGTCAAGGTTAATAACCGCACTCTCCATCACGCTGTGAGTTGGATTACAGGCTGTTGTGTAAGCATTATACAGGAGAGGGGGAGAGAGTCGTTTCATTTTTTACACCTCCTCTAAATTCTAAACCATCCAGAATTAAATAGGTTTTTTGGAAAAGCTGCATCTCTTTGTTGCTCTTGATGGAACCAGGAATAATACTTTCTATGCATTTGGGCATATGGTACGTTCTCCCATCTCTCCATTTAACAAAACCCTAGTTTTAAAGGTTTTATTTAGGTAGTTTCGTCCATCACTCCTGCTGGTAATGTTAATATTTGACTCATTAGATTCAGTGTAGAGAGATTGTTAATGCTGTGGCACTGCTAGGCAAAGCCGGATTACTTTATGGTAAAGCAGGTAAAGAACAGTAAAAACGAACATGCTGACAGTCTTAAAGTTGTTCCTTTTTTATAAAGTGACCTCGAGGTTCTTGCTTGAAGAATGTCCATGCCAAATCTAGTATTAAGATCTGCATTTTTGCACTTACATGGCAAAAAAACTGGTAATTTCTGTTGGTGCTAATCCCTCAAGGCCCCCACAGCCCAAGGTTCACTGTTTGGGAATTGATTTGTGCACTACTAAAGCACAATGTCAGCTGGGATTGGCTTCAGCCCACTGCTACCCTGTTAAAAGGAGAAGCAAGTATAACTAATGGATGATAAGGGCCTTTAGATGGGTCCGGGTTTATTACCTGATCTTTAGGCCCTTTAAAGTCAAGTCAAGTTCAGTTATACAGCCCAATATCACAAATTTGTCTTAGCAAACTTCACAATTTGTATAACATACAGTATGATACTGTGTATCTGTAGACCCTCAAAAAGCAACCAAACACACAATAGACCAAAAAGGAAGATTTCGCAGACCACTCAGAGGAACCCATTTTCCAGAGTGGATAGACATGCACTAGGTGCACAATGGATGAAAGTAACAGTAGTAGAACTATAATAAAAGAAATGTTATAAATCAAATATACAATATACAATATACAATATTCAGCTTTGAGTGATAAGTGTTACAGGGGGTTTCTATATCAAAATCTAGTTTTAAGACCTTCATTTTTTTCAGCAAATTCTGTGCTAACATGGTGCATATTCTTTAATCAATTTACAAACCTGTAATATTCCAGCATAGGAATGCACAGTATTGGATTTTTGCCAGAATCCAGTATGCTGAGATTTTCCATCTGATTTTAGTCAATTGCCAATACTGATGCCTATGTATACACATATATTTTTTTCCACTGAATTGCAGAGAACATTAATTCTCTCCTGTAGTGGGATTACCATGTTATCATGCCTACTTTTTATTATGCTGGCCCACTGGCAGATGCAAACATAAAACACAGTACGTTTCAAAATCAAAATGTACACATTCATTAGGCAAAATAAGAAAACTACTTCATCTTAGTTACACAAGAAACATGCAAAAAACTGTAAAATGTTTCCTACTTTAACATGCTTGGTTGATGCTCTCTCCAAGACAATCCTGACAATAGCCACAATCAGGGCAAATTCAACTTTCATTCATTCATTCATTGTCCGTGCTTATCCCTAACCCTCCAGCCTCCTAACCCTAACCAGGTTTGCGGGGAGTTGGAACCATCCCAGCTAAAATTGGGCAAGAGGTACATCCTGGACAGGTCACCAGACTATCGCAGGACTGACACTTAGAGATAGACAACCATTCACACCTACTGGCAATTTATAGTCATCAATTAACCTAACCTACATGTCTTTAGAGTGTGGGAGGAGGCCGGAGAACATGCAAACTCTGCACAAAAGGGCCCCAGCCCACTGTCAGATCAAACCCAGAACCCTCTTGTTTTGAGGTGACAGTGCTACCACCAGGCCGACCCAAATTCAGTCATCTTACCTAATAAAAGTTGCATAATTAAAGCCTGATCTTATCGGCCTGTCCTTTAGGCAAAAATTTTCATTTTAAAGCCTCTGTCTATTGATACCGATAATGTGCTGATATTATTGTGAATCCTTAAATAGGAATACTTCACACTGTGCAGACAGAGGGGGAAAGTTAAGGGGGTTAAAGAGGGGCCAGTGGCTAATTTTTGCCCCGAGGATGCTCAGCAGGTTAATCCAGCCCTGCTCGTAGGCACAGCTTTAGTCTAGTACTATGAAAGGTAATTATTATTACATAACAACTATACACGATACACTACAAAATTAAAGTAATTTTCTGAACATAGTCCATTCAATGTTTTTCATGGACCATTTATAATTTACTTCTGTATTGATAGTAAGGTATATTGTATACTTATATTGGGCTGTACTTTATTTGATCTCTCATACTGCAATTCCAGGTCCACTTCACTTAAGTCTTGTCTAGTGGTGACTCCAAGTATTTAAAATAAAGCTGGCAAGTGAAATGTCAGCATAACTAATGGGTGAGATGACTTAATGTTTGATTATAAATAGATGTTTCCTTCAGGATACAGACAAGTTTTGGTTACAAACCTTGTCTTCTGACTTTTGAAGCATTATTACTGTGGTGTGTGCACATGGCTATATGAGGGGGTTATGATGAGAGAACAGGCCTATTTTTCTTTGTTTTTTCACCCCCTCACAGACATCTGGCTCTAATAAAGGAGAAAAGCTACCAGTCTGGCCTGAAGCCACAGCCGCCGTCCACCTGCACAAACAATGGCTGTATTCTCAGCACTTCCTCCTAGGTCAGACGCACAAAATACACACACTAGGCTTGCACATTAGCTCTCCGGCCGATGTTGATGCCACGCAACATCTTACTCAGCAGTTGTCAGCAGAGGAACAAGCGGCCAGCACCTCTGCACTTTAACACAGTGACTGAGCCTTGACTTAAACTGCTCATTTAGCCCCCAGAATGGAAGACCAACGATACACAAAGGACCTCTTAGGCTGCAAACAAGCTGCTACAGAGGCCTCTCCTCTCCTTGCTCTATTTTCTACTCTCCCACCTCACTCCAAAAGTGGCCTTCAGTATGAAAAAAGTAAGTCAGTGGCGATGATCCCTGCTTAAACATATAGGGCTGGTAGAAAATCTCCACAGGGAACCAAGCGAGCACCTAGAGGCCCCAGCTGACTTTGGGCCCAATTTAGATGGTCTAAAGCGGATGGCAGAGGGCACATAATCCATGTCGCAAGTGTCATTGCTATTTAGATGCAGGCGCAGTTGTCATTTTCATGCCCTGCACCCCCGTCATCTATCTAGCAAATGAACTTGCGCTTCTCTGGGTGTGTTGGTCTAAAAATGAGGAGTGGTCAGGCGCAGTCATGGCGCGTTGCTAGTTAGATGGCGTAAAAAGCAAATGCGCCAGTGACCAACAAAAACCTGGTCTAAAGTCAACGGCGCAGTATTTCGTTGTTAAACAAGTTAGTAATAGGGGCCGTTCAGATGTAGCGTCTTTTGCGCGCACAAATCCATTAGTTTCAAAGTAGACGCGCGTCAAGCGTGCTCACAATCCAAAGCGACGCTGTAGCTGCGCGCATTCAGTGCGACGCGCCTGTTTTTTTGTGCGCGTCCGCAGCGCACAGAGATGGAAAAATCTCAACTTTATCGAATGCAGCAAGCGCACTGCATGTCATGTGATAAGAATTAACCAATCAGCTCCACGGACCTGCTTCTTCCTTTCCGTCCAACGGACTTCACAACATCCGGTGGTGTGAAAGGCAGCAAGCAATGGAGGAGCGACTGATCATTCTTGTCCAGGGATACCCAGAGTTATATGACCTGTCTTCGTCGTACTACTTTGACTCCAACAGAAGGAACAATGCCTGGAGAATTATCAGCTCGGAGCTTGGGATAACTGGTGAGCATGATGATATGCTATTTCTGTGTCACTTTTTACTCCCCCTGTGAGTGACAGGCGGTTTTGGTTGCGTAGTAACGGCAGGCGCGACAGTAGTGCAACCTCCGAAGCACCTTGGATAAAAGGATGGAAACGGCACAGCTGGCGTTTTCCACGCGCTTTTAGATGCTACATCTGAACGGGGCCATATGCGTCTCTAGGCGGGTGCACAACGCGCGTGCACTCTGCTCAGACACACACGGAGCAGCCACACATATGCAAAATATAACAAATAAAAATATGATTACAATGTGAAAGGTTATTATTGTGCACATTAAAATATTTATCAGAAACACGTCTTAATGGTCAGTCATTAATCAGAATGATCTAATCGCAGTAATAATGATTGTCATAATCCGGGAGGTCCAAGCTGGCAGTGTCCGAATATACAGAACTGCGAGCAGACCTCCACAGGCTGATGATAGCCTGTAAAATGAACTTGTCTTTCCCAATTGAATTGTGATCATCAAAGATGTGAAAACGTTTGATAAACTTTATTTTGCTGAATATATGACAGATATATGACAATATATACTCCCTATCTGATGCTGTGGCTGTTTGTGGTTGGCTGAGAGGGATGTGAACTTATTAGATTGCAGCTGTGTTAATCAAATCAGGCTGGGTTTCCATTACGCGTGCCAAACGTGCCAAACGGTGCCAATCCCCTTTGATCTGACATCAGATGTGATGTCTAGCTCTCCGCCGTGCGCTCCAATCGCGCCTCTTTTAAAGGGAATGAGAGGTGACACTCTGATTGGCTTATTGAATGATAAACCCAAAACACACCCATGACTAATTCACAGAGTAAGTCCAACCCTTTTAGACTCTCTGCCATGGCGCACAGTCTGAAAACGCGCTGTCTAACTAGCAAGTGACTGGGACACGCCCATGCACTGCATGCCTGGCGCTTTGCGTTTTAGACCATCTAAATAGGGCCCCTAATGTGTTTGTGCTTATGTTCTTATTCTATTATTTATGCTCAGATTAACATATTTTCATAAACACTGAAGCATTTAGCGTCATAGCAGGTAAATATCTTTACCAATGAAAGGGATAGTTTGACAATTTCGGACACATACGTATTTGCTACTTGCCAAATTTGGTGTGAAGATCAGACTCATGTCTGTAAAATAGACCACAAAGCTACAGCCAGCAGGTAATCACTGAGCAGCAGAGGTAGGGACTCCAGTCACATGACTTGAGTCCAGTCAGACTTAAGTCCCAAATTTGAGGACTTGAGACTTGATTAACTAACACTGATAAAAGACTCGACTTGACTTTGACTCTGTATTCATGACTTGAGAACGGTCTTAGACTTGAGACAGATAACTTGAAAAGACTTGGATTTTGTAACAAGTTTTTGCATTTTTCTAGATATTGAGAACTTATATTTTGTTTTTGAATCATGATTATGTGATTTCTAGAGCAATGCACGCAAACCTGGCAATGTAGGCTAATAAAATATGGCAGACCAGCTGAGGTCAACATAAGAGGCAGCTATCCTGGAGGGGGCTAGGCCAAAAAAATAAATAAAAAATTAGATTTAAGGATTATGTCGTTGATGACAGTAGTGAATAGAGAACAGAGGTATGTAAGGTCTGCAGCTCAAAAATCAGTTACACATCCACCACAATGTCCAACTTCATCTGTCACTACAAAACCCACAAAGAAAGGTACAGATACACAGCTTTTAGCTAACTAAAGCCCCTTTCCCACTGCACAAAAAACCCACTTACACCAGCTAACATCTGGCTTTTTAATTTAATAGGAAAGGTTAAACTTGGCACTCATACCCTGGTCAAATGAGTTACAGGTATTTATTGGTTCTGGCTCTGATTGGCAGGGAATGTAACACAACACCTGGTTGAACATGCTAATTTTAGCCACTTAACTGGTGAGATGCAATGATGCACCACCATCAAATATTGTCTGTCTCTGCCCAAGCAGCACTCAAACATTGTTAGTCAGCACCAAGTTTGAAAGAGTGACTCAATAAGTAAGAGACATAAAAAAGAAGCAGCACCATAACATTTTCACTGGTCTCCATGCTGCTTTCTACTGCTTACTCACCTGTTTTCTGGCCTGTCCCTGACATAAAAAGCGACACACAGTGAGAAAAAAAAAGGCATACTCATCTGCTGTCGAGCAGTATGCATGCCTCTATTCTACTGGTTATGAGAAAGGAGTCTACCGCCTATTTTTAGCGGGTATTCCTGTTTTCAAAAAAACTGCATACACACGCTAATTTTGATGGAAAAGGGCTTTCTATTATAAGCTTAATGGCCAACCAGATCTTTCTATTATTGGCTTAATGGCCAACCAGATCATGAGAATTTCATATGACTTGACTAGCAGGGACTTGACTTGCTTGATTCTCACTAAAGTAAAATGGGACTTGATTAAGACTGATAAGTTAAGACTTGCATGTGACTTGCACATGTGTGACTTACTTCCACCTCTGCCAAGCAGGGCTCTGTCCAAAGGTAAAAAAAAAAAAAAAAAAAAAGACTAAGAGTCTACAGCTACACTAATGGCTCTGTGAGGTTGCACTTTAAGTTAAAGCCTAATATCAGCTTGATCACAATGTCAATGCTTAAAATGTTAATATTAAGCAGATATTATTCACATCTTGGTTTAGCGTGTTGGCATGCTAACACTTGTTAATTAGCAATACACACAGGGCAGCTTAATTTTTCTCTCAAGTTTTTATGCTAAGCTAAGTGGCTGTTAGTTGTGTGCTATCAATCTTCTCTTTTAAGTCTCAGCAAGATATTAAATAATAATTATAATAATAATATTTTTATTTATAAAGCACTTTTCAAAAATAAGTTACAAAGTGCTTTACATATTAAAAGACAATAAGTAGGCAGTTAGTGAAATAAAATAAATAAAAATAATAAAATAAAACACAAAATGAGAAACAA